GCATCGACTCGATGGCACTTAAACAACAACAACAACGATGTCAATGACGCTAATGTTACCCTGGGATGTATGTCTGAAGATACAGTCACAGAATTCATTAACAGAATTTCAGACTGTAGACAGATACATGAATTACCCCAGTTTCAATTATGAAATCAACCCTATCCACCAGCCCTGAAGCACTCTAATCACTAGGCATTTTTATATAACAAAAGCCTATATCCTAACTCCAAGAATAAAAATTTCTATTCTCCACAAATTCATTAATAATATAAACCAAATGTTACTGAGTAATCTTCTAGGATTTTATATTGTGGTAAAATTTGGTTAATATTAATCTCACTTAAAAACATTTTCCATATAGATTCTAGACAGCTGGGGTGTAGGTAGAGTAACAGACACAAAAGAAAAGAAAAGAATATTTTCTTAAACTGAAAGAATTTGCCTGAGATCCCTTAAGGTGCTTTACTTCTCTGGCTTTTAGTGTGGAATTAATTAAATTTTTCTGCTAATTAGGTTGTTCACTTCATTCTGTATAAACATCTTCCAAATACCTGATTCAAAGGCAGGCTTCTCTAACAGAGAAACACAAACTATCTTCATCAAAGGAAAAACATGGCTTTCACTGAGAAAATACTTCAACTGCAGGCCTTTGGCCAGATTTGTTTTCCTCCATTTCTTTAAGTCACTGAGGAAATATAGACAGAAGAAGGCTCTCTTCAGCTTTATTTTTAAAGGGGGTAAGGGATAGAGAGAGGAAGAGATAGTGCATGTGGATGACTACACATGCATACATACATTTACATGTGTGCACATGCACATGCTTCAGAAAGGGCTTGTGCCGTAACTCCAACTTCATTAGGTTTTGAGGCCTTGCTCTATGGATATATACACACAGGCACAGATGGGATGTAATATAATATTTACTCCTTGAGTACAAAATTTAGCTAATTACCATACAATATATATAATTCTATAAATCACTGCTACAATTACAATAGGAAAACAGACTCTCTTCTTGTGTTTATAGACTCAAAAGAGTGCAATTTGGCTTCAACTTCCAGTCTACTGAATCCATTTCCTCAAAAGCCACTTATGATCTTCTGTGGTTTTTTTCTCAGCCTCAAATCACACTGACCTCCAAACAACCTCTGAGACCAGTGACCACACCCTTCTGTGAAATTCTCTATTTCTGATATCTGTGTGGCAGTCCTATCCCAACTCGCTTCTGACCTCTCAGATAAGAAGACCCAAAATTTTATACTCAAGCTTATTCTCTTTATATATTGTTTCTACCTGTGATCTCTGACAACTGCCCTATCAAATGCAGATGTTCTCAAACCAAGAACGCTAGCCTTGACTTCTGTCTTGAGCTCTTGGTACTTTAAACACACATCTAAAAATAAATTCATTAAAGCCACATGCTACCCCAGATAAATTCTTTTAATACTCATTTTATTCATGGTAATAACATTCTTTCAGAGCCATGGCTTGAAATTTCAAGAAATCAATTATGACTCTTTCAACCTCATATCCATTCATTCAGATAGCCCTGCTGATATTTTATTCAAAACAGAGAGTTACTAAAAACAACAAAATCTGAAAGATTAGATTATATGTAAATACTTTTATCTTTCTCAAACATTTTAAAGACTAGATTCATCCCTAAATACTTTTATGTTTCTCAAACTACAGAACCATTTAAAATCATCATTTTGCCATCTGTACAATGGGGATAATGTAGTTACCCTGCCTATATTATAATAAACAAAGATATGACCAAAACCAAAAGTCAAACTCACTGCCATCAAGTCAATTCTGACTCACAGCAATCTGTATAGCATTTCCCAGGCTATAAATCTCACAGGAGCAGAAACCCTCATCTTTCTCCCTTAGAAAAGATGTTGGATTTGAACTACCAACCTTACAGTGGTGGTGGCTATGTGCCATGAAGTCGGTTCTGACTCATAGCGACCCTGTACAGCATTTCCGAGGCTGTAAATCTTTATGGGAGCAGAAAGCCTCATCTTTCTCTCACGGAACAGCTGGTAGTTTCAAACTGCTGACCTTAAGGCTCACAGCCTGATTTGTAACCACTATGCTAGCAATCTATTATATGCTGTTGATGTTGTAAACGATCATCAAGTTGGTTCTGATTCATAGTGACCCTGTATAGGCTATCTGAGGAGCACCTGGTGAGTTTGAACTACCAACCTGTGGTGAGCAATCCAATGCTTATCCTACAGCACCACACCAGAAGTCTAAACACTATATAAATATTATTACCCAAACCCTTCCTATTCATATCATTATAGCCACCCTAATACATTCATCCACTGAGCTACATACACATTCATTTTTTCTCTAATTATTAACTCTGCAAATATTTTTTGAAAGTTAACTATAAGTTAAGCACTTATGAATCGGGCTGCAAACCGTAAGGTCAGCAGTTCAAAACTACTAGCTGTCCCACAGGAGAAAGATGAGGTTTCTGCTCCCATAAAGATTTATAGCCTCGGAAACTATGTACAGGGTCGCTATGAGTCGGAACCACTCCACGGCACATAATCACCAACCACCATGCTCACCACTTCAGACGTAACAGTAAGACAGACAAATATACTGCCTAAACCCAAAAACCTTACAGCCTAACATAACAGTTAGATGCATCCAGACGTAGATACATGTAGATGTAGCAAGAGGCTCCCCAGAAAAGAAACATTAAAGCAAAAAATAACACATACATACATATACACACACTAAAAGGAAATCAGTATAGTAAAGAAGTGGCAGCAAGTGGGAAGCAGGTGAAACAATTGCAGGCAAACAAAACATATAGACGAGTAAGTCAAAATTATTGCCACTTGGGATCTAATTCATACATGAATGGGTTTAGTCCAAACAATACATATTTAAACAGGTTTCTGCGATCAGTGGATAGCTACAGACAAGTTGTCTCAGCAATGTTGTTATTATTGTTTTTAGATGCTGTTGAGTTGGTTCCGACTCTATATAGGATTTATGAGTAGTAGCTGGTGAGCTTGAACCACCAGCCTTGTGGTTCAAACCAACTTTGCAGTCCAGGGCATTAACCCACAGTACCACACCAGGTCTCAACAATACACTTATCTTAGTCTCATTAGGGAACCTTCAAAAAAAAACTTTTTGTGTCATGGGAAAAAAATAACCAAAAACATTTTGAGGTCAGGGATAATAAGGAATTTAAAAAAAAAAACAAACTCAAGTGGACATCTTCCCATATCATTGAAATATTGCAACAAGTTTATAGGATGTTCTCCTACATAAAACAACAGTTTTTAGATGGATCAAGCATTTTAAGAAAGACAGGGAAAATCTCAAAGATGAAGTCACAGCAAATAGATCAGTTCAGAAGGTGATGGTAACGGTTTTGTGAGATCCCCAAAAAGTAATCTTGATAGATTTTCTTGAAGGATAAGGGAATTTACTAATAAGTTTCAAGAAAATTTAAAACTGCAATGGTGAAAAAGAGTCCCAAGATACTTGTGCCAAAAAAAATTTTTTCCCTCATCACAAAAATGAACCTGCTCATTCTTCAAGAGTAGATGAGTCCCTGGAGGACGCCCAAACTGCCATTTTGATGTGGTGTCTACCAAGGAGTTGAGAATTGTGTGACGAAGAGTTAGGGAGACAGAAACACCACTTTCAGAAGTGCATAGGCCTCAACAGGGGATATGCTGAGAAACAATAGCTTCATAGATTGATATCTTTGTTTCAGAAAGGTTTCTTTAATTTTGTAGCATTAAATATTTTACTTACTCTCACATGAAGCCCTGAAAACGAGAATGAGCATTTTAACTGCTGCCGTCCTTTTCTATCATTAGCAACTTCATTCCATTTATTTTTTTCTCTTCAAAATTTTTCTCAACCTCCCCATCTCTTACTATTGAAATCATATACATCCATCAATGCCCAGACTAGTAATATATTGTCCAGCTTCCAAGATAAAACTTGTCCAGTCAATTGCAACTTATCGTGACCCTACAGGATAGAGTTGAACTGCCCACCAGGTTTCCTAGGTTGTAATATTTAAAAGAGCAAACGCAAGGTCTTTTCTCCACAGAGCTGCTGGATAGATTCAGACCATCAACCTTTCAGTTAATAACCAAATACTTAACCACTGTGCTATCAGAACTCCTTATCATTTGACTCACATAAAAAGCATTAAATAAATATCTGCTGAGTGAATAAATTAATGACATATACAGTATAATATTTCTAAATCATAACTAGGCTTCTAATTACAAATATATATGTGTTTGTCCTAGCTCTCCTTGGAAGAGAGGACTACAGTATGTTCTGCACATCTTTATCCCTCATACTGCCTAACAGATAAAAAGAACTAAGTATTTATCAGATAAATGACTATCATAATCTAGGACTATGCAGAAATATAAAGGAAGTTATTTTCACCTTTCACTCCTGAATTTATAATGATTTGGTTAAACAAAACATTTAAAATCTCAAAATATTCTTTAGTTAGAAACTAAATTAAATAGATTTTCTATGAAATATCTCTCAATAAATGGTTTTTTATATCTTGGATGGCTCGATTTTCATTTTAAATGTTTCTGAAAACCTTTACCTCAAAAATCTTCTAAATTTAAATACTTCTTTAGATGATAAATTTATACTATGAGAAGATGGGACACTAATGAATGAACTGGACAACCTAGAAAACGTTATTTGGTACCTCATCTTCCTAAAATTCAGATAAATTAGAAAATGTATATTGTACTCTAATATCAGGCCTTTTTAGAATCAGGCCTCAAGCCACCATTGCATAATTTGTTATACAATTCAGAATTTTTTGTGGATTAACTGACATTAAAGAGTATATTTGGGTCATCTGATTTTTCAGATCAGAGAAGACCAAGCATAAAGCTGAGAAATACACTTTCAAAAGAAAAGCAAAAATGTTTACAGGCAGGGAGAAAAATCTACCTACTGAATGTCCTTACCTGTAGGAAATGCAGCCCATGGAATAGCAGGAGATGTGGTTTGGGTTTCACCATTTCCACTATCAAAAGTCTCAGCAGCCTAGAAAAAATAAAAGCAAGATTATATTAAGATATGAAAAGCAATCATGTCATTTAAGTGATCAAGCCTCCCAGTTCTATAAGTATTTCTTTTGTAAAGCACCAAACACTTTCCAATTCCCTCCCAATGGCTCTTCAGTCTTCAGTGTTTTCACGTCTACGGTTTTCTTACCAGCTCAGCATCCATGCTCTATTATCTTAAATGTTTCTTTCTGACATCTTACATTTAGCTTACAGTTCCTTCTTATATATCTCCTGCCAATAAAAATTACATTTTATATATCCTTAATCACATTCTCACCATGAGTCAGAATCAATTTGCTAACAACTAACAACAATCATATTTTCACTTGGTGTAGCGCTATAGGCTAATGCGCTGGAATGCAAAGTCATTTGAGCCACAAGGTTGGTGGTTCAAGCTCACCACCAACTGCTGCTCCTTGGAAACCCTATACAGGGTCATTATGGGTCAGACACAACTCAACAGCACTTAACAACAATAACAACAACATCATAATATTTATACATCTCTGTAATCTACCAGTGTCCACTGCCATAGAGTCAATTCTGACTCATTAACAACCCTATATAGGGTTTCTAAAATTATACATCTTCTCTTGCAGAACAGTTGATGGCTTTGAACTGCCAATCTTGTGGCTAACAGCCAGCCCCACACCTAACCCACAGCACCAGTAGGGCTTCTTACACCTGTAGGATAAAACAAAAAAACAACCAAACCCATTACCATTGAGTAGATTTCAATTCCTAGCAACCCTATAGGACACGGTAAAACTGCTCCATAAGGTTTCTGAGGCTTTACAGAAGCAGACTGCCTCATCAGCTTCCCTAGGTGTGGCTGGTAGGTTCAAACCATTCACCTTTGGGTTAGAACCTTATGCTCAGCTCACTGTGCCACCAGAGCTCCTTATATGTATATGAGGAGACTTCCAAAAGTTCAAGAAAAATGGAATTAAAAGATAATGGAATTTTACATGAATTTTACATACATATAGACATGTTGTTGTTGTTGTTATTATGTGCCATGGAGTCGGTTCTGACTCATAGCGACCCTGTACAGGGTTTCCGAGGCTGTAAATCTTAACAGGAGTAGAAAGCCTCATCTTTCTCCAGCGCAACAGCTGGTAGTTTTGAAGTGCTGACTGTGAGATTAGCAGCCTGATTCGTAACCACTACGCTACTAATATATAAGCCCTGGTAGCACAATAGAATACTAGCTGAACAGCTAACTGTCAAGGTTAACTGTTCAAATTTACCATTCCCTCCATGGGAGAAAGATGAGGCTTTCTGTTATAGTAAAGATTTATAGCTTCAGAATCCCTATAAGGGTCACTATGAGTTAGAACCGACTCAGTGGCATACAACCAACATTGCTATATAT